GGGGGGGGGGGGGTGCAGCCTTCCTTTAAAAGATGCAATTTAGCTAAATTGTTGTGCTCGAGAAGAATATATTTTTTTGGGCAATCGATCCCAAAAAAGTCTAAATTTGCGGGCCCCATAGTTTACAGAGGCTCCTCTGGGGGGTATAGGGATACTTAGTGTACGTTTAACCAGTGTGGGATCCGCTGTAGGTACCCTACGTGAGAAGCCACTAGGACGACAGGGCCCTCAAATTCGGATTCTTTAGGGTTGATTATTCATGAAAACATTCTTTCCCGAGCCTCTAAGTGAATCTAGGGAACTTGCATCCTGTCCCTCACCTTTAGGAGTCAGTATTTTGGACGTATGGACTGATTTTTGATTTCTTGGAATCTATACAGGTTTACGTTTTCCTTACTTTCCGATTGTGCTGTAATAATTTTATAATTTTAACGATCACCCCGACTGTGAGAAGTGACTATGTGTGTGAAAGTGAGGCGCCCCTTTTTACTCCGAAGGGAGGCTGAGAGAGCTGCGGGACCATACATTTTGGATTCCTCGGGGTCGACTTCCTCTTCGTCCTTGCGGACCTGAAATAACCGAGAAAGAGGCCTGGTATGGTAGGTCTTGGCCACCATGTATACTCCTGGACTTTAGTGTTGAAATTTTCACTTTAGTACCTAATGGCAAATTCAGCCTTTAATGCAAAATTCAAGTAAAAAAACACTGATGTCTAGGAAATAAGCTTTTATTCGGATTTGGCGAAAAATTGCGGTTGCGAATGAATTATAGATTACTAAACAAAGCGGATGGCTGTGCGGAAAAATGATAGGCACAGCCCAATGAAATCTTATTTGGACTCATCCAATCACTCTGCGAAATCCTGCCTCGATGGCCATTAATGTTCTGACAACACTACCTGCCCCTCACACTTCAAATAAAACTTGCCCCATTGTTCACCTCATCGGACCACTGCACTGAAGTGTTTCGGAGGTCCCATTTTTACCCGCGTCCGTTATTTTTTATATTTTTTGTATTTTGCGGCTGCAACTGAACCTGTAAAGATTCGAAACGTCAATCGCTCTTTTTTAATTTTAGCCTTGTTTACCGATGTCTTCTGTTCCTATTTTTCCATGATCTTAGTTTCGGACCAAGTAATTTGTGCGCCCCTCTTAATTGAAAATGGTATGATTTTGGGGAAGAAGTCATCCTCTATGGTATCGCGGTAGAGGCTCACTGACATTAATGAGGTCCTGCCTCCGATCCTAGATGGTGAATTGCTTTTGAGAACACCTAAAAATGTATAATTGTAACCGTGGATGACAATTCTATCCCAATACCTTGCCTTACCCGTCGAGAAACAAAGTTCGATGAATGATTTAGGTATCCATTCGGTAGTCAGCTCACACTGTGCAGCTGTAGTAAGATTAAATCAAGGATCACTCGCAGTATGCGCAACTGCCAGCATCACCTAGCAGTCGGAAATAAGAATAATCTTCTATTCCAACATTTCTTTTCAAAATTAGTCAATCAAGTCAATTTTCCATCTCTCAAGTAGATGTGGTACCTGCCTACTTTGCTAATTTACCGCGATTTCTCGAGCTACCACTATTCGAGAAAGTGCCCAAGCTGTTGAGTAAAAAGGATATGCACTTACGGCATTGCAGGAGGCGCGCAAGTCGGCGACTGATGTTGGCGCAACGATCTATCAAAAGAACTCGGTCGGATCTCCTTTGATAGACTGTTACGCTGCCCTCGGTCGTCGACTTGCGTTGCGGACTTGCGCCCCTCAAGTGCGGTACATACCTTCAGTGAACTTGAGGGTGAGAGATCCAATCGGCAACTGTGGAGAGCAAGCGTGAGCAGGCGGGGACATGGACAGGGACGGACATTCACACGTCCGCAACGCAAACGCAACGGCGAGAAGCGCTCTCGTCGCTGGCTCCAAACTCAAGTTGAGAGAAGTTCACTTCACGCCAAGCATCTCTGACACAGAGTTAGTCTACCCTATCGCACTCACCCGGTACCACCTGTGATCATCGCTGGGACTACACCTACTCCTCCCCGTGTTGCTCATCCCGCAAATCATCAGTGCATCAGAAATTCCCTCATCCAAATGGCGTCCGTGATTATCTTGACTATATTCGATCCCAGGATCTATGAACAGTTAACATTTATCCAGTATCTTGGCACATTTTACGCTATCGATTCCATTTTTTAAGGCTTATTTTCTCGTTACAATTTCGTAGTTCCATCATGAAAAGTACCTTTTGTTTTTTACTTCAATCATTTTGAAACAAGGGTTTTTAGTCAAATCACTGTTGCCTGATAAGCCGTGCTCTCATCTGCTGTACTTCTTTGAAATTCAGACGAGGGCATTAAATATAAGTTTTCAATTTTTGAATTGAGTGAATCGTTGTGTAACATGGTTTTAAATCCCGACTCTAGCCACCAAAACGTTTCCTGGGAACTATAATTACTTCAGAGATATCATTTCACCCCGGACTTTCCGTATTAGTAGTTTAAGAAAGTTCGATTTCTCCGATTAGTACTTTGTTCTTACTCGTTGCTTTTTCCCGTATTTTATTTTTTTTAAAATTTTAAAATCATTGGCTCTTCAACCTGAAATCCCTCGACTCTGAGCATCTTTCGCATGTATACGTCTTTTTCATTCGCAACTCATCAACCACACCAACTTCAATCAACCAGTCTATGTTTACAATGTTATCAAACGGGGATGGCAAGACGTATCTCCTCTCTTCGTTACACGGACTGAGGAAAAGCATTATTCTCAAAACGAACTAAAAATGCATGTCTGAGGTAACTTTTATGGCAAACCAAGATTTCAGCCATTTAAATTCGTCGAAGGGGATCGCAAAGAGCAATAATGGGTTGAGTTTTACGGTGGGTGCAGTTGTAGGACTGAAGGGAAGTAACACGAATGTTTATGGGCAGAGTAACTACAATGGGTACATGATGAGCAAGTCGGAGAGGGATGAGCACTCTACCTCCCTTATAAAATTACAAAATGAAGATCAAATGTGTATCCGGGAGAACCCGTTATGCAACGTACCGACAGAGAAGGCAATTCCTATTTCTATCTCAGCTTCAGGAACTGGAGCTTCCTGCAACAACCAGAAGCACATGAACCATAAACAACAGAGGCGGAAGAGTTCTGTGACGTCGAGTCAACAATACGTCTGGTTAGAGCTGGACAAGACCAAGAAGTCCCTAGAAAAATACTTCCTCGTTCTCTCGGCTGTCATCATTGGCACGGTTCTTGTTCTCTTAGCTGCAGTATTTTTCGCCCAGGATACTCTCTCTACATCAAGTGAGTGATAGTAAAATTCAAGTGTCTACTTAGTTCTTAAATGTGTTAATCAAATGTTTCGTAAACATCGACGTACTTGTCAATTATTTGCGTAGAGCTAGTCTCAAAGTATTACGTCTGAAAGTAGAATGTCAAAATCAAAGTTTTAGTCCCACGATGTGTATTTTTTTTACCAAATAAGCATGGCAATATTTTAACTTCAAACCCTTTTTCCTCAAAGGAACGAGGGTGACTTTTAAAATGGTAATGATCTGTTTCCACCAATTACTCGCACCTTATTTTCTTTTAACTCGTCAAAAAATTTTCAATAAGACAATTTAAGAGTTACCTACCGCATTCATCGTGTGTACACCTCAGACTTTTTTGGTGGGACCTTAAACACATGTGCTTGATTATACCGGATTGCGGTACCCACTCGAAAATTTTCGTTCATGCACCCTCAAATACTAATGTAAAGATCAAGACTAATCTATCTTCTTACATACCTAATTTTTTTTAAAAAACTGTATAAGGACTACACTAATAATAACACCTACCCATATACACAAGGAATAATGCTAATCAGTTTTTCTTTGAATAAATATAAGTTAAATGGGCTATTTGCAACGTCACAAATTAATGTTCGGATTCCCCATAGGCCGATCACTTTCTGTCAAAGCTTCTATAAATGCGTAAATAAAGAAGAAAAAGTAAACAAGAACAGTCACGAAAATCAATGAAATCGTGTGATGTGTTTTTTGATACCTTCTTCAACTAAGTACCAACAGGAAATTCGAATTAAAATTCGGAACCTGGTGAGAAAGCGAACCTGACCCTTTTATTTCTTCAGTCGATGACATTCGCTGGCTAAATGGACAGTCAACATTGGCCCACCGCCGCCAGCCGTGCAGTCTCTGTGCATGCGCACACTATCAGACTTTACAGTCGGGGCTGCTCGTGTGAAAGGTGCTTTCGTCTCACAACCTATTCGTTATACCATCGAAGTCACCGACGTCAGACCACCTGCAATTTCTCTAACCGCTTCCCCTCCCCCTAATGGCAGCGCAAATCACCTGTTGCTTCTGGACTTCATTCGGTTATTTCCGGTTGTTCCCGGCTAACGACGTAATCGAGGCGTCTGTTAATGACATAATCGGGGTGTCCGTTACTGACGTCATTAAGGCACCCCGTCATAGTGGGATTACTTCATGTCGTCATCGGGGCACCTATTGATGACGTCAACTGACATGAGTTGATAACTGAGGCACCAGTTAATTAATGATGCCATCGCGACAACCGTTGATAACTTTATCAGGACACCCGTTGATAATGTTTTCATATCTCAAATATTAAAGCTGTCACATTTTGGATGAGCTTCTTCGTTTAACATATTTCCTTTAGCAGGTATAATATCAACTTGTTTTCAGCTGTATTTATTTTCATTTATATTTATTTTTATTTATACTTATTCCCGTCAGGGCATTTTCACCACTGCACACTAATAAATACACCTAATATTGCTTTCTCCGTGATGTCAGACCGGGACCTAAGATCGTGTAGTGAGCATCGATCATGGATCGTGATTACGATTTCGTTCGGATTCAGAAGTGTGTATGTGAGGGCATAGAATAATAAGGCTACGCCTATAGAAAGGACACTCTCGCAGATTTCGTGACGAAGAAGAAGAACAGGGACCTGGAGCTCTTGAGCTGGAGCTGGCGGGTATTGTTTACATTCAGAAATGAAAATGGCGGCAATAGCCAACTGTAACACTCTAACTGTAGCTGATCACATGTGATTTTATCAGTCATCTGGCCAGCATGAGCACGACGAGGCTGTGGAAATAGTTTTCGTTACATTAATTTTGATACTCAAACTCTTTTACTCTGTGGCAGTGACTTTTACACTTACATAACATTAGACTCTTCTTTGGCACCACTGATTACATTTGGCAACCCTGCAATTAGCTGGGCCCTACTATTACATTTGACAACCTTGCAAAGAGCTGGCGGGTTCAGAAAAGTATAGGGCAACGGGACCTAACCAAACCTGGACACAACAGGCGAGAGTCACAACGGCCGCTTACGCGAGTGTTCCTTCTATAGGCGTTAGCTTTATTATTCTATGGTGAGGGTGTGAGGGTTGGTGCGAGGGTGCGCGCGCGCGTGTGTGTGTGTGAGTGTGTGTGAGGGTGGGTGTTTGTGGGTGAGGGGGTATGTGGGTATAAATGAATGTCTGTAAACAATAATAAATAAGTAGTTATAAATATCGAGTGAACGATTTCAGTAGCCCGATACAAAACAAAGTAATCACTTAAAAACCAGGGTCAAGTAGAATACCTTTATAGACAGAGTATGGCCATTTCTGTTCCGGTTTTTCATTGGTCGCGTGAAAATAGGCTAACACGATGTTCTTACGGCCGTAAATATACAAACAAGATGGCCGTTATCAGCAAGCAAGATTGAGGTTATGCACATCTTACATCCTCCTATGATAAAGGTGAAAGGCGATTTAACAATGTTTTCATGTGTTTTTTGTGTGTTATTCGTAGATATGCTAGTTTAAATTATTACTGCCGTATAATTGAAATTTTTTTCAAATTTATCTTCTTATCGATGTTACGGTGAGCCGCCATCTTGTTTGATTATTTACGGCCCTAAGAGCATCATGAAGCCTAAAAACTCGTCGACCAATCAAAACGCGGAACAGTTTTCCTGTAGTAAAAAGATACGAATGGCCATACTCTGTCTATAAAGGCACTCTAGGGTCAAGGCCAGATATATTGCACCAACTACAAACCATCGCATTAATGAAAAAAAAAATTGCCTGGAAAACAAACCAAATCGCTGATCCAATCCAGAGAATTATGTAGCAATGATGAAAGCACGATGAACCCCAATGCACAATAATAAGAGAATTATTTTAGTAGCCCGAAACAGAATAAAGTAAGCACACAAAAAACAGGGTCGAGGCTACATCTATCGATACTGTTGGGGATGTCCCGTGGCTGCTAGGCGGCCGATACCCGGAAGGGTGCTCCGCGCCCTCTAATTTGTGACCGATTTAAAATTAGCGGAATTAACCAGGGACTATCTCCCATTAGCAGCCGCAAAAACCATGATAATCGGCTCAGTACATCTTTCGAACGAAATGTGACAAAAAATGGACCTTTACATTGTGCCTCTAAAAGATATCTCAGTCCCTGCTGATGCCAATGTAGGTGCCAAGTATAGGGATAAGATCGAAAAGTATCTGTCCTTAGAAACTGAAATACAGTGTCTGTGGAAGCTGAAAGAAGTAATCATCGTACCATTTATAATTTCCGTTACCCAAGAAGCAGTGATCGCGATTTTATCGGTTGGTTATCGCGATTATATCGGTGGCAATGTATCGAGATATTATTGCATTTAAAATTGCGATGTATGGCGATTAAATCGCTACAAATCGCAATTTTTTGTTCGATAAAATCTTGATCAATTTTCGTCGATAAAATCGAGATAAAATCGCCATCTATCGCGATTTTTATTTTGAAAATATCGTTATAAATTGTCAGGCGATAAAAGCGCGATTTTATCGCGATAAGATTGGGGATAATAGCTCAGATGTTGATGATCCTGGCGATTTTATCGCCGATAAAATCACAATGTATAACAATTTTTCTGTTGAGAAATGCTACTAGGGTACGGGGATCACTACTTATTCTTTCCTAAGACATCTGAAGCAGCTCCACTTAAGTGAAACGTACACACCCGAAGTCAGGAAGCTGTGATTTTGCACACTTGTAATATCACCAGATCATTCCTAAACTCAGGGTAGTGACTCAGTAGGTAATGTGCTTGTGCAGTATTTTATGATTTGACTTCATTATTATTTCTAATTATGTGACCAACTTATAATTAAGTGGTCTATGGATTTTGAAATTTTAATACCACCACCATTTTTTTCACCAGGATTACCACTTGTATGGTACTTGAAGTAGTGAAAAAAAGAAATAAAACAACTCTCATGTATTTTAAAATTTTACAACTCCCAAATTTAAACAATTTTAACAGGCTCTAGGTTTGAAACACTTCGCCTTAGCCCATCTTTCAATCGGTTTGAATCTAAAAACATTATTTTTGGGAGGAAAAATTTAAAATAATCATTAATGTAAACGTCGAAGGATTCCTCTCAATGAAGCTCCACCTTGTATTCGAGTCCGGCAGGGTTGCAAGATTGTGCGATAAATGTGAATATTTTACATAGGTTTGAACCGGGAAAAGTGCTGGAAATGCAATTTATCTGGCAACAGTTGAGTCTGGGAGGGACGAGAGGCTAGTAGTATGAAAATGGGAATCTTAGGCCAAAAGTTTTTAGCCAAATTGTGCAGAAAAATACGAATTAAATTACAGTGTTGTATGGTGATTATTATTCAATAGGGCAACGCTGTAAAACGAAAGTACTGCATGTTGCCCCTTCAATATGCGGGTTATGTAATGGTGTAATGTAGCCCCTTCAATAGGCAGGTTTTGCAATGGTGTATTCTTCAAGATGGCGGTTATGCAACAGCGTTGCCGGGCGGTGCACTTAAATAAATGATTTATTTATGGGTGAAATTTTGCAACATCGAATTTTACAGTGTTGCCCGATGGTGCAAGAAATTAGTTAATTTTTATATACAATGTTGTCAGATTGTGCAAAAAATCGGATTTCCGGACTTATAAAAATTTTCGGCTTCGAAAGACAGTATCTTACAGTAAGGACCTGGGATCGGAGACTGGAGAGTAGGGTCTGATTTGGGAAATTGAACAATTTTCAGAAAATTACCGTCCTCCGATCCGCCGCGGACCGATGCGATTCTGTTACACTATCGAAGATCGGAAAACTGTACGGACCGAATTTTGATGCGACTTTTTGTTTTAGATTTCGGACTTGTAAAATTTTCAGCGGCATCCACGATAGACCATATCTGACAGTATGGGCCTGGTATCGGAGACTGGAGAGTTTGGTCTGATTCGGGAATTTCAATTGTTTTTTTTTTT